TCCTGAAGTACAGTGCTGTCAGTGATAGGATAATATCCACATGCCTACAAGGAAGACCACTTAATACAACTATTATTCAAATTTACACACCAACCACTAAGGCCAAAGATGAAGAAATTGAAGATTTTCACCAACTTCTGTAGTCTGAAATTGATCGAATATGCAATCAGGATGCATTGATAATTGCTGTGATTGGAATGTGAAAGTTGGAGACCAAGAAGAAGGATTGGTAGCTGGAAAATATGGCCTTGATAATAGTAACCATGCAGGAGATTGCATGATAGAATTTTGCAAGACCAACGACTTCTTCATTGCAGATACCTTTTTTCAACAATGTAAATGGTGACTATACACATGGACCTTGCCAGATGGAATTCACAGGAATCAAATCGACTACATTTGTGGAAAGAGACAATGGAAAAGCTCAATATCATCAGTCAGAACAAGGCCAGGGGCCAACTGCGGAACAGACCATCATTTGCTCATATACAAGTTCAGGTTGAAACTGAAGAAGATTAGAACAAGTCCATGATTGCCAAAGTACAGCCTTGAATATATCCCACCTGAATTTAGAGACCATCTCAAGAATAGATTTGATGTGTTGAACACTAATGACGAAAGACCAGATGAGTTGTGGAATGACATCAAGACCATCATACATGAAGAAAGCAAGAGGTCATTAAAAAGATAGGAAAGAAAGAAAAGACCAAAATAGATGTCAGGAGAGACTCTGAAACTTACTCTTGAACATCCAGTAGCTAAAGCAAAAGGAAGAAATGATGAAGTCAAAGAGGTGAACCGAAGATTTCAAAGGGCGACTCGAGAAGACGGAGTTATAATGACGTGCAAAGAGCTGGACATAAAAAACTAAAAGGGAAGAACATGCTTGGCATTTCTCAAGCTGAAAGAACTGAAGAAAAAATTCAAGCCTCGAGTTGCAATACTCAAGGATTCTATGGGAAAAATATTAAATGATGTCAGGAGGCATCAAAAGAAAATGGACGGAATACACAGAGTTACTATACCAAAAGGAATTGGTTGACGTTCAGTCATCTCAGGAGATAGGATATGATCAGGAACCAATGGTACTGAAGGAGGAAGTCCAAGTTGCACTGAAGGCATTGGCAGAAAACAAGGCTTCAGGAATGGATGAAATACCAATCAAGGTGTTTCAACAAACAGATGCAATGTTGGAAGTGCTCACTTGTCTGTGCCAAGAAAGTTGGAAGACCACTACCTGGCCAACTGACTGGAAGAGATCCATATTTATGCCTATTCTCAAGAAAGGTGATCCAACCGAATGTGGAAATTATCAAACAATATCATTAATATCACATGCAAGTAAAATTTTACTGAAGATCATTCAAAAGTGGCTGCAGCAGTATATCGACAGGGAACTGCCAGAAATTCAAGCCGGATTCAGAAGAGGACGTGGAACCAGCGATATCATTGCTAATGTCAGATGGATCCTGGCTGAAAGCAGAGAATACCAAAAAGATAATTTACCTGTGTTTTATTGACTATGCAAAGGCATTCGACTGTGTGGATCATAACAAATTATGGATAGCATTGGGAAGAATGGGAATTCCAGAACACTTAATTGTGCTCATGACAAACCTGTACATAGATCAAGAGGCAGTCGTTCGAACAGAACAAGGGGATACTGCATAGTTTAAAGTCAAGAAAGATGTGCGTCAGGGTGGTATTCTTTTACCATACCTATTCAATCTGTATGCTGAGCAGATAGTCTGAGAAGCTGGACTCTGTGATGAAGAATGGGGCAGCAGGATTGGAGGAAGACTCATTAACAACCTGCAGATGATACCACCTTGCTTGTTGAAAGTGAGGAGGACTTGAAGCACTAACCGATAGAGATCAAAGACCACAGCCTTCAGTATGGATTACTCCTCAACATAAAACAAAAACCCGCACAACTGGACCAATAAGCAACATCATGATAAATGGAGAAAAGATGGAATTTGTCAAGGATTTCATTTTACCTGGATCCACAATCAACACTCACGGAAACAGCGGTCACAAAATCAAACAACGCATTTCATTGGGCAAATCTGCTGCAAGAGACCTCTTTAAAGTGGCAAAGATGTCACTTTGAGGATTTAACAGCAACGGGTTTATGTATGTACAAAGTCTGGAAGATGATATAAAAAATGTTAAGTTTTTATCTTGAGGTGGTGTGATTTGGAGTGATTTATTCAATATTATGGATATTTTTCCAGTTTTTAAATAATGAATATGTAAAATAAAATTGAAAAAACAGAAAACACCATTGTGCAGATCACTGTTTAGAGTATAAAAGTACTAGTTTGTTATTTCAGCCTTATTTGAAGCTTCATATGACAGTATGTTGGAATAGAAAATAAGTTTCACGTATCAAGTTCTTATCTATAAATTAGTATGGGAATCTTTGTAATGTATCATCAGGTCATTGGAGCCAGATGTATAAATCTATCTTGTGTTTCATAATAAAAATAGATGCATCCTAAAGAAGAAATTTAGTATAACTTGGAATTCTGGTGAGTTTCATCTGGGATGGAAGCTTTGGATAATGGTAGAGGAAGGTGTTGGGATTGCTGCTTGCAGGTTATATATGACATGTTGGACTTAAATTCTTCCTGTCTATAGCAGATTACTATCTACAGTATATATGTTATGCATTAATCATAAAATAATTTTCAAAATATAATTTTGGGTTAACAGGGTAAAACTTCCCAAATGCCAAAACAAAGCAAAATACAAATAAGCAATAAGTATAATAACAACAGCATCTACAACTACTATCATCTCCAGATTTCAAACTCTTCTTCTTAAATGTTGGATTGGCTGAGGTAGTTTGTGTGGTTTTTCAAATCTGCCATTATTACATTTACTATTGAAAAAAATCATATATTTAATATTCACGCCTCTCTTACTAAAAATTTTGGATGCATTATTAATGTCCTTTTTTTTTTTCTTGTTTATAGTTCTTTTCATTTTGAGTGGTTATATATCTATGAACCCAATTCATGAATTCATGGATATACAGAAGATAAGGAAGGGACCTGTAGACTTGTCATTTAAGATTCTTATAGAAATTGTTCGGTCTCTGTGATTAGTCACATAATCTAATAGTATGCCTTGGAGAATGAAAAAATTATAATTAAAATATGAGATGATAGCAGGAAATAGAGCCCTCCATTATCTTTATTTTGGCCTTTCATTTATTAAGACAAATAAATGTAGTTTTGCTGGGAGAAGGGGGGAAAATGAATGTGTGTGTCTTTAAGGTATTCGAATTGCTGTCTACAGATAAAGCTGTAGCTATATACAGTATTTTGGGGATGGAAAGAGAAGGCCATAATATTGTATAGTGGCAGATTTGATATAGTTACATTAAAATACTACTTTTTAAGGATGATCATTTATCATTAAACTTAAAAAATTATTCAAACACAAGACTGTTGATCATGTCAGTGGTAAATGTCATTGAGATTTGGAAGTATATAACATTTAGTAACAGGTAAAGCTTTAGATTATTAGTAAAGAGGATTGATAGAGAATATGCAAGTAGTAAATCAAGCCATTATCTGTAATTTCATCTAGTATACTATATAAAATTTCTAGCTCCTGATGTGAAATGATACTATATTCTCCCTGACATTGTAGTCTTCTAAGCATTTGTTAAAATTATGAGTATATTGTTAGCATTTGATACTCTGAAATGTTGGACATTTGACCGGAGTGATTGATATTCAGGACAGCTTTTGTATGCTAATGTTATTGGTCTGAGTGGTAGGCCATATTATTTAACTTCTCCAGATAATGTAACCGTAGAGCTTTAAAATTTTAAACAGTCACTAATCTGTATAGGGGTAATGCTGTCTGTGTAACTTTGATGTCGTTTGATTTGAAGCCATTTTCCTTTTTATTCTATGTTCTCCATATTATTTATGAGAACATAAAATTGCACATGAGGAATTACAAAGGTGGTCTCATCTGAAGAATCTTAGCACTTTTTCTTTTATACCCCAATATGTTGAACACATAAAATAGTGAATTTTATAGATCACAAAAACAAAAACCCCTGGCTTTGCCGAAGTTCAGTGAGTATTTCCTCTGTCATTCCTTAAGTGAAAAACAGGAAACCAGTACTGGAAAGAAATTTGAAACCTTGGGTAATTTTTTCAGTTTGCCTCAGTTCTACTTTGGGTAAATGCCTACCAGCCTTTAAAATGATAGGAATTCGGTATTAGTCTAAAGTAGTTAGGGCACAACATTTGCCATTTCCCTGTGTTTTGCCTGAAAATGTTTAGTTAGAAACGGGTTAGTATTTTCATATTTATATAAATGTAAAATGGTTGTTTCAGCTTCACAAGTCATAGATGTGTGCCATGATCATATTTTTTTTTAATACCAGTTTATATTTTTAAAATACTTTGTTAACTTAAAAAAAAGAGCTAGCTGATATTCAATTCTTAGAAATTGAAGGTTTGCTGTTTACCTTCTGAGTCTCAGGCTATATTTTATAGTAAATCAGAATCTAGTTGGTTGATTTTGAAATATAAAGTATGATATTCTAAAGTTATACTTGATAAACTTTAGAGTCAAGCATTTTATCATACTGTTACTATTTGGTGGCATTGTTGCTTAAAACCTTGAAACAATTACAGCAGCGTCCAAAAACAGTCTATTTTTAAATTTTTGCAGAATAATCATTGCTTTATTATTGAATAATACAATTTCTGAATAATTTCTATAATATGAAGTATTGATTTTTATTACATGCTTATGGAATATTTCTGAATCCATAAAAACCTTTCTTTTCAAGATGGGTCATATTAAAACAAAGGTCAGTTTTAGTTGCATAATTAGACCACAGTTCTCCAAAGAAGGATTCCTAAGAGTAAACTGTTTTCAACGTAAGAATATATAAAGTTAAAATTCAGGGTTATAGTTAGACCCTTACTCTTTAATTCATGGTTAACAAAATTTATCTTTTTCAGACGGCAAATGGCTACATCTTGTTTTTTCACATTATATCTACCAGAGGGGACAAGTACCTTTATGAACCTGTGTATCCCAAGTAAGTTGTTGTCTTTCGTTCTTTTGATATTAGCATATTTTACATTCAGAAAAACAAAATTTTGGGTTGTCTGAAGTGATTAAAATAAAGCTGACCCAGCATTTCCAAATAGATTCTTTCAAAAATGACTAGATCATTGTAGTTATTTCTTGAATAAAGGATTCTGTAAAAATATGTCTTGGAGTCTTGGATGAATGTACTATATTCCTTCTTGGACATATTCAGAATGACTGTTAACATACTCCAGATTCTAGAGTTCCCAAGTCTTTATTAGGGAGGATCTAAGAGATCATGAGGGAAAGAGGTGAAATGTTAGTGAGCTGGGGGCTCTCTTACCTGTGTGTTTTTGTGTATGTGTAGGGAAAAAATGTACCCCAAAAAGTGGTTGCCTCTTTTGGTTAAAACTTGGAGAAACAAGGACTTTTGTTTCTTTAAACCTGATAGATTTCTGTATATTTTGCCTTGGTTTTTTCTCTATGGCATGCCTTACATTTGAAATTAAAAAAAAAAAACAGTTTTAAAGCATGACTTTTTAAACAAAAAAGTCAAACCGTTAAATCTGGATGAAAATATAAATGAATATGTATCACATTTCTAGATAGTGGGAGAAGGTCAAACTTAATCAGTATATAGGAAATTAAAGTGAAAAACAGATTTCATAAAAGTTTAAATTGCTAAAAATTAAAAGAAACAAAGACCTAACATTAAAAGATAAGTAACCAATGCGAGAAAAGTTTTCAGTAAACCGGGCGAAGGCTTATTATTTTTATGTAAAGAGGTCATATAAGTTGCTAAGAAACACATGAAAACTCCAATAGATAAATAGGCAAAAGACATTAATGGAAAAGTCTTTTAAGAGGAAATATAATAATTAACAAACACATGGAAGATGGTTCATGCCCAATAGTAACTGAACCAAAACAAAAGATTAGATACAACAAAGTAAAAAAAATACACATTTTAATATATAAAAATAGGGTTAAAAAATTTTATAAGTCAGTGCTAACGGAGATATAGTGAAACTTGCATTTTTGTACTCTTCTGATAGTAATTATGCATAAAGGTGTTGACTGTAATACTGTTTATAATAGAAAAAATATGATAGAACACATCCAAATATATGATGATAGGAGAATAGTTAGCAAGTTAACCGTGGTACATCCTTCTCCTAAAGTAATATGCAGTTATTAAATATTATGTCTTAGAAAATATTAACTTGAGAACTTGATCATATTACAATGTTGAGTGAAGAAACAAGTCACAGAAAATGATGTGTATAGTAGGACCACAACTGTGTAAAACAAAACATTTTGTCTAAAGAAAGAGCTAGAAAACCATAATACAGGTATTTATAGTAATTGCTTCTGTGTGATAGAACTGCAGTGATTTTTCCACTTTCAACTCTTGAATTTTCCAAAATCTTTGATACGTACTTTTAATGTGGTAGGAAAAAAAAAGTATTTGCAAAATATAAAGCAATAAGAAATCCGTGGTTTCCCAAAACTGGAACTATGACAATTGTTTGTTTATTTGTTACTATTCTTCAGAATACATTTTGGGAAAGGCTGACCTAGGCCGTGTAGAATGTAGGTCACATTCCTGCATCATAAATTCTAAGGAACTACCTGGATTTTTTTGATACTATAGACAGATTGTTTTTGTAATACATATAATGTTAACTGAGGTGGTAGTTGAGTTTTGGAAATCTTTTGTAATGTCAGAAATTCTTTGATGATGGGATTTAATTTGACTGCTATTTTTCAGAAAAAATTTCAATGCAAAAACCCTCTGCATATAAATTGTACTGTTTAAAATAGTATGGAGAGTATACATGATGAGAAGTTGATGTGTTTGAAAATCTTAAGTTCATTTTTGTGAATAATATAAATCTTACTATTTTTCATTGTAAGTGATAATTTTGTGAGCCATTTGAAGAACTCTTTAAAGTTTCATTTGCTTGCGCATTTTGAGCTGCTACATGTAACCCTTATTGCTTGATTTAGACTTGCACCTATAAAGAAAAAGCAGTAATCGGAATCAACTGAATTTAACTTGATTAATTTATACTACCGTGAGTGGGCAGGGTAGGAAAAATTACTTTTCTTGAAACTGAAAAAATGCTCTTTTATTTCAGCTCAGAAACATGCATTACATAAGTTTACAGTGTTTCTGAAAAGTATTTTGAGACACACTTTCTGTGTTCTTGAGTATTCTAAACAGTTTCTCACCTTCTGGTTGTAACACTCCAGGGGGCATCCACATAACTAAATGATCCTGACAGCATATAACTTGCTGTGTTTGACTATGAATGAATGTTAGACTAGAAAACGAAATAAAGAGCAGTATTCTTTTTTCCGTTTGGGGATTCTTCACTGTATTTAAGATTTTTGGTTACAATACCTGGGCTCAATAAAATGTGCATCCCCTGTAGAGCAATCTGAATAGTGGTTAAGGGGACAGGTTTTGGAGTTAGATAGGCCTGGAAGAGAATGTCATCTCTGCCAGTTTTCAGCTGTGTGATTCTGTCATGTTATTTAATACCTCTAAAACTCAGTTTTCTTGTCTGTAGAATGGTATAGCAGTTGTAATTATGTCATAGAATTAAATGAGGTCATGGATGTTAAATGCTTAGATAAGTGCCTGGTTCCTGGAAAAATTAATAAAGAACAGCAGCAGTTATTTATTTACTGTTGTTAGGTGCCATTGAGTCAATTCTTACTCATAGGGACCCCATGCAGCAGAATACAACTGCCCCATAGCATTTTCTAGGCTGTAACCTTTATTTTGAGCAGATTGCCAAGTCTTTCTCTTGCAGAGCCACTGGGTGGGTTCCACCAGCCTCATTCAGCTAAAAGCCCAGTGCTTAACATTGTGCCACCAGGGCTCCTAATTATTTGTTACTAATATATTTTTTCTTCACCACAATTTTGCTTCTATTTTTTAAGATTTTAAGTGATATTTTAAAAATACGTATACTTAACTTCATAACATACCTCTTCGTCAGAGCTTCAGCTTCAAATAACTGCTACATAAAACCAAGCAAACTCTCTTATGTGGGAACAGTTTTGCAGAGCAGAGCAGATTAGAGTTGGCCTGTTGTGCATTGGTGTGCTGGACTACTTTCTACTTGGGTTCCTTAGTCTAGTAAGTTACTTAGCCTTTCTGCCAAACTTACTTGTAAAATGAGAATACTACATTCTTCCTCAATTGTCAGGGTTATATGAACTCAAGTTTTTAAAACCTAAGTAATAGTGGTTCATATAAGGGTTTGAGGAGAGTAAAAAAAAAGTTTGGTTTCGACAGTGGTGTTGTTATCAGCGTTACTGTAAACCTTTCTGTAGTTCAAATACTAAACATTTAAAAAAAAAATTGGATCCCTATAACAACCTATAAGGTACAGTTACTATGCAAACTGCTGCACAGAGAGGTTAAGTAACTCACCCATAGTTACATGCTAGTACAGCTACGACTCGGACATAAAGGTTATATAGTGTTCTTAATCACTAATACTGGACTGCCTCAACCCTGTTTATTCCCCATCCAGTCATCTGCTACTTTGGGATTTATTTTGGGAGTCAGGAATAGGTGAAAGGAGAAATGATCTGGGGTGGTTTATAATCCAAAATCAAAAACAGACCTATTGCCGTCAAGTGAATTTCGGCTCATAGCAACCTTACAGGACGGAGTAGAACTGCTCCATAGGGTTTCCAAGGCTGTAAATAGTTACGGAAGCAGACTGCCACATCTTTCTCCCCACAAGGTGGGTCCTAACTGTCGACCTTTTGGTTAGCAGCTGAGCGCTTAACCACTATGCCAGAAGGGCTCCTTGGTTTATAATAGTCCTGAAAAATAGAGGGAGCATAATTGAGACTAGTAGTTTGTCCTCCTCTACTAGAAACACATTGTCTCTTGTTTCTCTCTCTAAATCTTATGAGTTCATCTTATGTGTTTTTGTAGAGTATCTCAACTTGCCTGTATTGTATGACATCTTAACCTCAGACTGCATATCCTTTTCCATTATGCTCCATCTGAGAACACAGGTTGGATGCCCCATGATCTTATGTAGTTTCCACATAGTTGTTTCCAGTGTCCTTCCTGTAGATGTTGGGAATCAGTCTTCAACAATGGTGATGGTCTTATTAAATGACTCTTCGTGCCTCAAAGCTCGTTTATTCTAGGGTGAATGAATTTTTCACGTTTTTCTTTTTTAATGTTTTGTATAGGTCCCATTCTATATTAAAATACCTCTTTATATTAATTACACAAACTAGGGGACAGACTAGCTGAAGGTCTTCTTGACTTTTCCTCAGTGTCTTGAAACTTAGGAAATTGTGCCAGGGATAAATCAGAAATAATTTGTGTTTAGCCTTAGAATATATTCACATGTTTATGCTTAAATATGAGTTTAGTATATCCTGAATTTGAAAATCATGCTTAATTTCATCATAATGAAAATAATTGCAACAAATATGTCATCATAATTTATACTTCTTTGAAAGCTGAGATTCTTTTTTCCTTCTATCCTTTCACCTCTACTGTGAACCTCTTTTTGTTAGAGACCAGCCTTATTGAGGCCAAGGTTATCAAATATGACTGTACTGAAAGTCAGTATATTTATCAAATAATTTATTTATATTCTTCACTGAATAATCACTCCAAAACAACTTCAAAGTTTAGCCTTCCTCTCCCCGCCCCAGTATATTTCGTTAGATTGTGAAACTTCTTACCAACAAGCTATTAATGATTTAGTGCTAGATGGGAAGGAAGAAGAGAAGAACTAACTGAAATTAGCAGTTTGTAGCCTTAGCACAATTTACCCTTTCAAACATCCTGCTGCCTACATTAAGTGACACAAACATCTACTAAATCACATCAAATTAGAGAAAAGAAGAGGTCTGAATTATTTATCAAAGTGAAGGTTGTCCTCAACATATTTTTTCCTTTTGCTAAGTTATGAGTGTTAGCTTTCTAGAGAGTAAAATTTATTTATTTTTCCTTAA